TAAGATGAAAGATTTGCTGCAGTCTTACATAGGATTTTCATTATGTTTCTGGGACCAGGTAGTCTCTTCTTGAGTAATGTGGCTCCGTTTTTACTATGGAAGTCAACAGTGTAATTATATTTCAATTTACAAAATTCACTTTACAGCCACATTTTCAAGAACACATCTCTCTCTTCTATGAAATAAAGGACACTAAAAGGTAAGTGATCTTGGAAGAGGAAGCAGTTTTAGATGCCTCAGTACAAACTCCTTCCCATTTAGCAAACTACTTAGTGACATCCCTCACATTCAGTCCCTGCTAGAATATTGCCAGAACAGAGAACTTGGGGAAGTGGCCCTGACCAAGCCTGGATAGCTCAAATTATCCCAAGGCCCTGGACCCCTCCTCGGGTAATACCAACCTGTGGTCTAGTCAACCAGAGTGAGTTTTATCTCACCTTCACATGCCAGGTTTTAAAATATTTTAAGGCAGGTTTTATGCCTCATCTGTCTCCTGAAGATCACTTACACTATGTATCCATTAAAAAAAAATGTTTTACCCCCTACTATAATTATCTCTATGTGAAGCAATGGATTTCAGTATCTTGGCCAAATGCCTTGGTACCCATTTACATAGCAGAGGTAAAAACTGTTTTAAGAAGCAAGAAAATGTGGGGCGCCTGGGTGGCTCAGTTGGTTAAGCAACTGCCTTCGGCTCAGGTCATAATCCTGGAGTCCTGGGATCGAGTCCTGCATCGGGCTCCCTGCTCGGCAGGGAGTCTGCTTCTCCCTCTGACCCTCCTCCCTCTCATGCTCTCTGTCTCTCATTCTCTCTCTCTCAAATAAATAAATAAAATCTTTAAAAAAAATTAAAAAAAAAAAAAGAAGCAAGAAAATGTTTCTTATTGTTGAGGGTACCCATTGCAGTGGGAGGCCTGTAGCTCAAGCAGCCTCGGGGTCCCCAACTGACAAGTTCATTTTTCCCAAACTTGAGGATGCAAGTCAGGGTAGACACAAAACCATAGTTATACCAGCACTAGGGCATTAGCCTCTCACTTCTTGGTTGAAGAGCTACACTTGACTCAGTCCCATCTGGGACTCTCTGACCATCAGCAGTGAGGAGTGGAGGCTGAGAACAGGAGAGAGGAGGCCCTGGATGACCAGAAGACACAACCCTGTCTTCTTGCATGAAGAAGGAGGCCAAGTTGAAGGACCTTTCGCAGAACTTTTAACCGCCCAGAAATTTTACCACAATTAAAGTTTTTTTTTAGATCAGCAGTTCTCAAAGACCCCTGCAGACCCTGAGATCCTTTCAGGGGGTCCACAAAGTTGCACGTTTTTCATAGTAATACTAAGACATCACTTAACTTTTTAACTCCTCTTCTCTCAGGAGTGTACAGTGAAGTTTTCCAGAGCTACGTGACATGTGGTATCACAACAGATCGAATGCAGAAGCAGATAGGAAAATCTACCTGCCTTCTGTTAAACAAGGCATTAAAGAGATTTGCAAAAAATGTAAAACAATCCCACTATTCTCAATAAATTTTTTTGTCTTGGAAAACATACTTTTTTTTTAATGAAAATGTTATTTGTGTTAACATGTAGTGGGGTTTATTACTGTTATTTTACAATAAATTAATACAGACTTTCGAAATGTGTCGGTTTAAATTTATGATATATTAAATATCAGTAGTTATAACCCACATAAATAAAAGCTATTTGGGGTCCTCAGTCATTTTGTAAAGGGGTCTTGACGTTAAAAATATTTTGAGAAAAACCGATTTAGGGTTAATAGGCAAACAACTGGGAGGTTAAAGAAGTAGAAAATTATTGCCATCCACGTGGGGAGTGAATTCATTTAAATGGCTTGTTTTCCTGGCTGGGAGGATTGAGAGACTAGAAGGGGGGAGCAGAAGACAAAAACAAGGAGTGAGTTTAAAGAATGGACAAAACAGGCTTGGGTGAAAGAGGTGGAGAGATGTTTCCAGCCTACAGGCGTAAGATGTCTGGGGATGCAAAGATAGAGGAATACAAAGATGGGAAAAGGTAGAGAAAAGGTGATTGAAAGAGAACATGGAGTAGGAGACGGATGGAGAAAGGTGTCAGGAAAAGTGCAGATCATAGTTTGCAAGATGCTTGAGAAGGGCCAAGGAAGACAAGACCACAAGGTTAAAAGAAAGAGTTGCAAAGGAAGTGGGAATGAACAGAGCAGGGAGGGAGTGAAACTTACTGTCCCAGGACCATGCTAGGTTTTGTGGAACCCAAAGATAGCCCTGTACACACCAGGGGCAAAGTGTGTAGCTTACCTCGTGAGGAATGTAATCAGGAGGCAGTTTGCTCAGCATATCTTCAGATAATCTATAAACGATGGCTTCCCGGGTCTCTCCCACACCGCCTCCACTCTCTTTGGGTTGAATGTTGGTAATTGTTTCAAGAACAGCAGAAGCAGTGCTACTCTGATACCTGATAAAAGAGTGAACTTTTCAGAATGTAGCAAGGAAATGTACGTTCAGAGATAATTATCAAAGCTAAAATGAACTGATAAGATCACTTAAAGCCAGATAGAAAAAAGAGGGGGGAAAAGGAAACTTTACCATCAACCCACAGGAATGAAAAAAACTAGAGACCCATTCTACTGCCTCCTAACAAGACATCAAGAACATCACAGAAAAGAAAGGCTTTCCATCTTCAGGGAAAGAGATTCCACAAATGTCCTTGGTAATCCAAAGCAGTACTATCCAATTTTGCTTGTCACTAGCCTACAAACCTCATGTTGGACAATGAACACAATCTTTTTATTCTCCCCCAGTTATAGACTGGTCATAAGAATCTATAATTACATGACAATTTGTTAGATCAAAGAGGATCACTCATATTTCTTCTATGAATTACACATTATTAAAATTTCTTTGGTATTTTCTGTTTTGTTTTCTCACTTTCCCACTTTTGTTTTATGATTTCCAAAGTAATCTATTGGCATCCATCTGTTCCACTTGTCTAAATGCAGCCACCCATATTTAAAATCCATGCATCCAATAAAGATTTATTATGTACCAGGCACTGAGCTAGGTGCTACAATATGGTCCAGGTAAACAGATCCTTGCCTTGGTGCCCCTCTCTATCTAGTGGAAGAGGGGTGCGTTTGTCAATACAACTGTAATACATGCTTTGGAGGAAAAGAACAGGATGCTTTAAAAGAGAGTAATCCGTCTGTATATCTCTCTTGTTTTTGTTCTCACTCTCTAGATCTCTTCTGGGTCAACCAGATGCTCTGAGAGGCACAAATGTAGCTTTTGTCTTGAAGTAGCTGGGTCTCGACACACAGATGGTGTGTGTGCATGATTGTGAGAGTCAGTAGGATAGTAAAGTCCCCTACTATTGTTGCATTGTATTGTATTGTATTGTACTATCGTTCTATTGTTGTATTGCTGTCAATTTCTCCCTTTTGGTCTGTTAGTATTTGCTTTATATATTTAGGTGCTCCTATGTTGGGTACACAAATATTTACAAATGTTGTATCTTCTTGTTGATTTGACCCTTTTATCATTATTTAATGACCCTCTTTGTCTTTTATTACAGTCTTTGTTTAAAAGTGTATTTTGTCTGATATAACTACCCAAGTTTTCTTTCAGTTTCCATTTACCTGAAACATCATTTTTCATTCCTTCACTTTCAGTCTGTGCATGTCCTTACATTTGAAGAGAGTCTCTTGTAGGCAATATGGGTCTTTATTTTTGTTTTTGTTTTTTTTGTTTTGTTTTGTTTTGTTTTTTAAATCCATTCAGCCAGTCTATGTTTTTGATTGGAGAATTTAGCCCATTTACATTTGAAGTAATTATTACTAGGTATGTGCTCAATACTATTTTGTTCATTGTTTTCTGACTGTTCTTTAGTTCTTTTCTATTCTTTTTTTCTTCTCCTGCTCTTCCCTTGTGGCTTGATGACTTTCTGTAGTGTTTGATGACTTTCTGTAGTGTTATGGTTAGATTCCTTTCCTATTATCTTTTGTGTATCTACTATAGACTTTTGCTTTGTTAACCATGAGGCTCACATATAACAGCCTATAAATATAACAGCCTATTTTAAGTTGATAGCAAATATATAAATAGACATTTTCACAGGAAGACTGAGGTGTGTTTTAGTCCACTGTGTGTGCCACGCCTTGGGAGTGGCAACGTATCGAGAACTGTGGCTCCAATTGTTTCGGGCCTGTGGGGCCCAGAAATGCAAGCCCCCCTGGCTACCAGGGCCAGGCATGCAAGGGACATCCTCTGTGTGGGCTGCATGTGTCTACTGGCTTTAGCAGGGCCACAGGAGGCACTGGGGTTGGGACACTCCCACCAGAACTAGTAAGGCAGAGGGAGAACACAAAACTGGTGTGAACAAGTACCTCCATCCCTGGCAAGAGTCCCAACAGGTTCCTGACCCTCTAGCAGAGGACTTAAGATTAGCAAATGAATCTCCTTCACATATGATCTAAGTGCTTTTCAAACTGCTGAGTCCCAGGGGTGAGTGAGTCTGCACATGAGCCCTGTAACAGCAGGATCTTAATTCCCTACAGCCCTTTGGGGTTATCTCCTAGATATAAGCCCCACTGCTTTTCAAAACCAGACATTTTGGGGGCTTGACTCTCTGGTACAGGTCTCAAGGGTTGGAGTTCCTGATGTGGGGCACAATCCCCTTGCTTCCCAAGGAGAAGCTCTGTATTTATGAGATCCCTCCCAGTTATATGTCACTGTGCCAGGGGTGAGGTTTCAGGTGAGATGACATTTCTGCCTCTCCTACCCACCTTGATGTAGCCCTTTTATACTTCACTATGGAGCAGCTGCTCAGTTAGTTTTCAGGTCTTTTTCAGAAGGAATTTTTCCCTATGTAGCTGTAGATATGGTGTGTCTGTGGGAGGAATTTAGTTCAAGATCTTCCTATGCTGCTAACTTGAACTGCCTCTTCCTGTGAATTCTTAATTCACCAGGTTTGTTGCATTAATTAACACTCATTCATATTACCTATATTAATTTAAAATCCTCAAGCTAGAAATTTATTTTAAGGTGTTTCCAGGAAGTTTCAGGTGGCAGCTAGTTGAACCAACACACACCTTTCCTGGAATAATATGCCTACAACCAGGTCTCAAAGAATCCAACAGTTAATTTCCAATAGACATGAGTTCACAGTCAAAAGTTAAAAATTCATAAAGAAACAAAGCAGGAGCTCTTGCTCTGAGCAAGAGCCAGTAGAAACAACAGAAAGCAGAACCAGACCTGCAAAGATCATAGATAATAAATTTTCAGATGCACATTATGAAGATGTTTTTACTGTATCAGAGAATAAAAAAGGATGATTGAAAATATAAGTATGAAACAGGAAACTCTAAACATGAATAGCATATGTGAAAAAGAGCCAAATAGAACTTTTGGAAATTTTTAAAAATATTAAAATTGAAAAACAGTATTATTTTATTGCTGCTATAACAAATTACCACAAAGTAAGTGTCTTGGGGTGCCTGGGTGGCTCAGTCAGCTAAGCATCTGACTCTTGATTTCAGTTCAGGTCATGATCTCAGGGTCGTGGGACTGAGTCCAGCATCAGGTTCCATGCTCAGCGTGGAGTCTGCTTGAGAATCTTTCTCTCCCTCTCCCTCTGCCCCTCCCCCCACTTGTGCCCTCTCTCTCTGTAAAAAAATAAAATCTTTTTAAAAAGTAAGTGTCTTAAAACAACATAAATTTATTCTCTTACAGTTCTGTAGTTAGTAAGTCTGACATAGGTCTCATTGGGCTAAAATCAAAATGTCAGCAAGGCTGAGTTCCTTTCTGTAGGCTATTGGGTAAGATTCATTTCCTTGCTCATTTGAGTTGTTAGCAGAATCCACTTTCTTACTGAGGTCCCCAATTCCTTGCTAGCTGTCCATGACAATGGCAAGTCAAGTCCCTCTCTCACTTTTCATCTTTCCTCCTGCTTCCATTTCATCTCTCTGACCCACACTTCTGTTTCCATCTCCCACTAGTTCATGTGATTAAATTGGGCCTACTTTGATAATCTAGGATAACGTTCCCATCCCAGGATCCTTACCCTTAAGAATATCTGTAAAGTCCTTTGTGCCACATAAGGTAACATTTATACAGGTTCTGGGGATTAGGATGTGGATATCCTTGAGGGTTCATTATTCTGCCTACCATAAAAGTTAACAATGAGTCAAACAGCAGATTAGATTCAACCAAGTAAAGAATTAGGAAACTGGAAAATAGATCTGAAGACATTATGTAGAATGCTGCAGAGGAAAACAAATGGGAAATATGAAAGAGAGGTTAAAAGACATATAGGATAGAGTGATAAGTTCTAACGTACATCTCAGGAGAGCTTCAGAAAGATAGAAGAGAGAAAATAAAAAAGAAATAATAAGGGATGAAATAACAACTGGGGATTGATGAAAGAGTTGAATTCAGTGCCTCCTAAGTAGTATGAACAAACAAACAAACAAATAAATAGAAATCCAGATGTAAACATATCACAATGAAACTGTAAAACACCAAAAACAAAGTGAATATCTTAAAAGCAACCAGAGAGAAAAACAGACTATCTAGGAAGAAATGACAGTAAGACTGATGGCCAATCCTCAACAGCAGTGTTGGAAGCCAGAAGAAAATGGAAAAGTGTGTTGCACATGTGAGGATAAAATAACTACAAACCAAGAATTGTATATACCAAGCAAAATTATCTTTCAAGAAGGAAGGCAAGACAAAAGATTTAAATAGATATTTCACAAAAAAGCTATATTAATGGCCAATAAACACATGAAAAGATGCTCATCATTTATTAGAAAAATGCAAATTAAAACCACAGTGAGATATCACTTCACACCTACAAGAATGATTATAATAAAAACAGACAATAACAAGCACTGGCAAGAATGTGGAGAAACGGGGGGGCGGAGCAAGATGGCGGAGGAGTAGGAGACCTGGATTTCGTCTCCTCTCAGGAATTCAGCTGGATAGGGATCAAACCATTTTGAACACCTACAAACTCAACAGGAGATCGAAG